CTTTAAGCAACTGACACACATTACTGTAGTTGTTTGGAGCAAGCAATTTTAGTTTTCAAAGTACTGCTTGGTGGATAGCAGATTTTGCTTTTGAATATAAATATTTAAGTACTTAAATTTTGTATTTATTTGTACTCATTAGTTTCTTTTTATTTTCTGCTCTGGATTTTTATTCTCTGTTTTTGAGCACCTTAACAAAGATCTTCTGGTTTTTATGAAGCTTGCTAACTGGAAAATGTTCTTTGAGGCAAGAAATGTCTTTAATTTTCATTATAGGAAATGTTGAAGAAGTGTCATCTTTGTATGGAATCAATAGTACAGGCCAAAGACAGACAGGCTGCGGAAGCCAACAAGAATGCCAGCATTTTGTTAGAGGAGTTAGACCTGGAAAAGGTAATGACAATCTTTACATATGAAAACTACATACTTTTCCCCCTCTAATCTGTAATCCATTGTTTTGTGGTTTTGTTTTTACTTAAATTATGTATGTGATTTTCTAAGTTTGGCTCAAATACTTAATGAAAATTATGACTACTTTGGAAAGCATTTTCGTCGTAATCAAATTAACAGAATTATCCAATCACATTGATGTGATGAAAGTCAGGAAAGCTGGGCGTGGTGGTGCACGCCTGTGATCCCAGCACTTGGAAAGCTGAGGCAGGGGGATTACTTAGTGTTAGAAGCCAGCCTGGACTACATAGTGAGTTCAAGACCATCCTTGAGCCACATGAGGAGACCTTAGCTCATTAAAAAAAAAAAAAAAAAAAAAAAAAAAAAAGTCAGTTAAATTTAGGTTTTGATTTGTGATTCAGTCTTATTTCAGCACTTATCTCTTAAATCTGCAGTTACACCTACATTTTTTGATCCTAGACCTTGTTTAATTTACATTTACCAGAAATATAACATGTACTAATAAAGGCATAACCAACTAGTCGAATAAAACCATTTGGAGTTTTTTGGTTTGTTTGTTTTTGATACAGGGTCTTGACATGTATGCTCAGACTGGCCTCACAGAGATCCTGCTGTAGCCTCCTGAATGCTAGGATTACAGGTGTGCACCACCACACCCAGCTGTCTGCTTTTTCTTTTTCTTTTGGTACTGGGTCCAAGGGCTTGGGAAGCAGGTGCTGGAACCACTGAGCTAAATCCCTGACCCTACTTCTCTTAATTCAACATAATCTACCTCTTTTAAGTTTTTCTTCCTAAAATATTAAGGTTTTTGCTCACCCAGCTTCCCGCATCCCCAATAGGGGGAAATTGAACTCAGCACCTTGCATTTGCCAGGTAGGTGCTGCCCCACCGAGCTAAATCCCTGGCCCTTTTTATCCATTCCCTATTTTAAAATGTTAACATATGAATAATACTATTTTATAAATTTAGAAAACAATCTTTCTAGAGCCAGGAAAGACATATTAAATAAAAACTTTAATTTTTTATTCTCTTTGATGTTTATACATTTAAATACATTTTGGATTGTGTGTGTGTGTGTTTATTGTAGTAGTGTGCTCAGGTTAAATGGGAACGTGCAAAAATTAAGAAAACCATATCACTGTAAGATAACTGAGAGTCCTTATCTCTGAAGTTCTTCAGGTGACCTTTGAAACCACACATCTGTGCCCACCGAACCATGCCTTCCCCACTTCTCGCTTATTTTATTGCTCTTCCTGTTGGTCATATTTAGCTGTACTAACTATTCTTGCTTCTACTGTATTTTCTGCCTAGAGTTGTCTTCACATGCCCTCATGTTTTAGTCTCCTCTCTATCCATACTTCTTCTCTGTGTGTGTGACAGACAGACATTGAGGATTGAATCTGAGCCTTTGCACTGAGCTGTCTCTCCAGACATTTTAATTTTTTGAGACAGGATCTTGCTGAGTCATTTAAGTCATTCAGGCTGAGCTTCTCTCAGCCTCCTGGACTGCTTTGTATTACAGGAATGTGCCACCATGCCTGCCTATTTCCTGTTCTTTTTTCCTGATTCTTTACTTTCTGACATTCTAAAGACAATATTTTACAATTTATCTTATCACTCCACAAATTGCATGTACCAAAAAATGGTGAATGGCATAGTCGACAATAAATAGTAATATTCACATACATTGTATTGGTGTCCTTTTTAAAAAACGAATCATACAAACATATCACTTGCACTTTGCTTTTTGATAACTAATAAATGTTGTCTGATGATAGTGATTTTAAATAACTGCAGGGCATTCCATAGTAACATATTCAGGTTTTTAGTATTTTGGTGCTCTTATTGTTATAATAGTTCACAAAACCTCAAGTTACTTAGCTCTAATTTGATTCTTCTTTCTATACCATATACTTTATGGACAGGTGTGTGTAAGAGTGTTACACACACACACATATTATATATATATTCTGCATCATGGTGGAGATGATTCTGAACTCTAGCCCACATTTATATTTCTCTTTGAAGTATCAGGTTGGGACATAAGGATTTGGCTGAGTAGTTTTAAGTTACCATTTATATCTAAGCAATATATCCTTTTGGGCAGTTTGTGGTCCCAAATTTTATCATTAGGAACATTGGAGTTGGTTTTGGTTGGTCTGAGTTATGGTTGATTAATTTCCTCCTTATATAAAAATATTTCTGCTAAGTGTCTTGGTGAACACCTATAATCCCAGCACTTTGTTTTGAGGCAGGGTCTCACTATGTGGCCCAGGCTGGCTTGAACTTGTGGTGGTCCTGTCTCAGCCTACCAAGTGCTAGGACTACAGGCATGCACCACCATACCCATTATCCCTGAGAGCTTGAGGCCAGCCTGCACCTCATACTCAGTCTCCAACTTAGAAAACGACGAAAACAACAAAAACTATTTCTTGGGTCACTTCTAATTTGAGAATTTTAGTTTATATTGGATTTCCTTATATTTACTCAGTAAACACTTCGTGAGAATTTAGTATGTGGTAGATTCTCTACTGTAGAGTAATTGAATGTATATAAGCTATGCATTCCTTTTACAATTGTTTCCTTTTAGAACGTGAACTAGGTTATAACAACTATATTAAATTTATGGCTATTGATCTTCCTCTTTTCACTTCGTTACTCTGTTTATTTTTTCTTCCCCCTGTCTGTCTTTGTCAGTTTTCATAGCCTTTTAGGGAGCTATCTATAGTGTTTTTTTTTTTTTTGTACCGGAGATGGAACTTGACTCTGCACTTGTGAGGCAGGCGACAGAACCACTGAGCTATATCCCTGGCTGCATGGTGGTAATGTGGGGGGTAGTCTTACAGTTAGTTGATGCTGTGTCTCTTTGGATTCCATGTCCAAGGAGTTGCTGGGCTGTGGAGCGAAAATTTCTCAAAAAAGACAAGCACATGTACAGAGATGCATTATTATTTTTTGTTGTCATTCCCTTAGCAATACTATAATACTTTCTGTGCAGCAAATGCCATGCCATTTTATAGGAGGAACCTGAACATTCAAGAAATTTGGTATCCAATGAGGTCCTGGATCCAGACTCCCACAGACACTTGAGCAATGACTGTTGTATTTTCTTTGCACTTCCTTGCTGACTGGTATTTGGAACACTGTATCCCTTCACTTTAATTTACTCTCCCATTTATCTAGACTGTTATTTTTTTCCTTTCTTCTTAGACTTCTAATACCTGTTCTTCTTTCACCTTTAATAAATGACCTTGCATGCTAAAATACTGAAAACATTGAAGCATCTTCAATAAATATATAAAACTTAGAGTCTTTTTCCACTCCATCTATCAACTCATCAATACTTACACCCATATATTTTCTACCAGCAATTAGATAAACTTTTGGTAACTGGTCCTTCCATTTGTCTGCTAAATCCTACTTGTTGTTCCTGTTATACAAAACTTGTAACAATTCTTTTTTCACTATTGTTTTCCCCATCTCCTGGATGACCTGGATCATGCTGTATTCATGAACACAGTCTACAGGGCCGGCGGGTGGTTTGGCTCAGTGGTTCGCTGCCTGCCTCGCAGGTGCACAGGCCAGAGTTCAATCCCCAGTACCAAACAAGAAAAAGAAAAAAAAAAAAGAACTTAGTCTACAAACATTATTCATTCATTCATTTGTGAACATTCATTCATTCATTTGTGAAACTTCTTTTGAATCTTCCAAACTCCTTATCTCAAACTTTAAGCTACTGACCCATTTCTGTGCCCCCCATTCTTAGCAACATTCTTTTGGAGACTTACGTATTTCAACTCTTTCTCTTAAATCTCTCCTGCCAGCTTTTCTTTCCCACAACTACACTCAAATCATGCCTATATTTATGGTCTATAATGATGTTCATGTAGGTAAAATTTTAATAGTTACCTCTCCATCCTGATCTTACTGTTAACATTTGATCCACTCTTTTTACTTGGCTTCCATGCTGCTTCATGCTCTGGCCTCATCACCTACCTACCTGTTTAGATGTTCAATGTCCCCCTTACTGTCTCCTCTTCCCATACCTCTTATTTGATGAAACTCTTGGCCTATTAGATGATTATCCTCTTTATCCACCGGTCTCATTCTGATTTCTGACTTTCTACACCAGCTAATTTTATATTTATATCTCCAGCCTCTAGACTCTAGCCTCGTACATCCAACTAGCTATTTAATATGTGCATTTGTATACCTTAATTGACATAATTTGTGTGGAAATATAGATTCCTGTCTTGGTCCCTCTAAACCCATAACTCTACCTTCTGATTGCTCAGGTCAAAAACTTTGAAATCATCTTTGATTTTTCTCGAGCCACTATTTGTTAGAAAATCTTGTTACATGTGCCTAAAATTACATACAGAGGAGTAGTTCACTTTCGAATACTCCTTACTCATGTCTGTTCCCTCACCTTCTTCCCTTTTCCAACCTTTAGATAGTCTTTTTTTATTTAAAAAAAAGTATATATAGAATCATGATCAGTTATTATTACTTCTCACACTGGTACAGACCATTAATATGAAAACTCTTACCTGGGCCAGGGATGTAGCTCAGTGACACTGCATCTGCCTCACAACCACAAGGTCCCATGTTCAATCCCTGGTACTGAAAAAAAGATTATAAAAAACAAGAACTCTTACTTGAATCACTACAGGAGTCATTGAAGGAGTCTCCCTGAATCCATCACTGTTCACAATACACTTTGTAAATTGATACTTGGTTTCCTTACCAGTGGAAGGTAGGCCTTATTAAGGGCCCTTCGAGAACTTAAAGGTTGATTAAGTTTCCTGTTACTTTCTCCGAAATTCATTTCCTACTCTTTTCAACTATCCTAGTTTCTTTGTTTCACAGTACCATCTCACAGCCTTTGTTCTGTTCTTGTTTTCTGAAATACTTCATAACCTTGTTTTCTTTTTATTTTCTTAGCTGCACCTTCATCGGGCTTACACTGATCACCCTATTTAAAATCAAAACCACCCACCTGTACACATACATCTATCCTGCTATTGTTTTCCTTTTCTACTTTGTATCTTGTAACAATGATGGAATATGTAGTAGTTGGCTCTTTGAATCCTGAATCTATGGATTCAACCAAAGAACTACAGATCAAAAATACTAACAAGTACTACATCTCTAGCTGAATGTGTATAGGCATCTTCTTGTTATATCCCCCATACACAGTATAACAGCTATTCACATTGTATTTTTTATTCTGAGTTCTCTGGAGGTCCTTCAAAGCACACAGATAAGCGCAGGTGTGCGCTGTCCTGTAGGGAACTTTTGGACTCCAGGATTTTGTTATCCTCAGGGGTCCTGGTACCTCCCCTGAGAATACCTGCCAAAGGGGGACTGATTATTATGTTTATCACCTGAACATCCATCCCCCTTTGTCCCCAAATGAATACAAACCTCCTCGTGGCGAAGCTTATTTTATTCATGCCTAGCAACTAGCAAGTTACCAAAAAATTTTTATTGGAGCCTTCTCTCCCTTTGATTCAGAAATGAAATCTTGATATCATTTCAGCTTTTGATTTCATCTTGGGCTTCCATTCCCTACATCCATTAAATGATGAGTAGAACAAGTACCCCTGTTCTGTGTTGTGCTCTGTACCATCTAACGTGCAAAAAGGTGACCTTCTCCCTCAGAAAAGGCCCCAGGTGGGGCCACTTGTTCTGGAACATGAATCAAAGTAGAACTCTTGGGAATGAGGATACAGTTAGTTCAGCAATGGAGCACTTGTTTAAAGAACCCTGGGTTCAATCCCCAGCACTGCAAAAAGACAAAACTTTGTAAGTTTGAAAAGAAAAATTAACTTAGAATAATGTGTGGAACATTAAGCGCTTTACATGTTTCAGTGCTTTCCTTTGCTCTAGGTTCTTCTTTATCATTCACAACCCCAACTTACTTTTGTATTCCAAATGTATAGATTATTTCTTTAGTCTCTAGTGCTTCTCCATAAATCCTTAAATTTTTATCTCAAAAAGCTTAATTTCCAAATGTCGCTTTATTTCCTGAACCTGCAACTGGAAATGAGGGGGTGAGTTGGTACCTTTTCCTATGTCAACTTCAGAGCCTCCCCGCCGCCCCACAGTGATGTGTGATACAGGCATGGGGTGGGGGTATGGCCTGTGAGACTGTTCTGTTTTCCTGTTGCGGAGAACTAAACTGAATCTTTAGGTATTCTACTTGCATCTGTCTGTTTGCTTTGGGATCTCTCCCTCCCCACTTAGCGCTTCTCCTTTACTGTTGCCTCTGCTGTTGCTTCCTCCTCTTCTAAGTACTTGAGATGGAAGCCAGAGCTTTTGCTTACCACTAAGCTATTTCTTCATGTTCCTTGCACACACCCCACATACACCATCTTTTTTTGAGAGATAGGGTCTCCATTAGGTCTAGATTGGCCCTGAACTCCTGGGGCCCAAAGATCTTCTCACCTCAGCTTCTGGCACCCTTGGGGCCAGCTACACTTTTATCTTCAATTCTAGAGGGCTGGAAGGAGATGTTGTGCAAGGACCCAAGGCCAGGCCTCCCAGAACCACCCAGGCACACCCAGAAGTGTACTTGAATTACCTGAGGTCCTCTACTTGGTTTTACTTTTCAATGTCTACTTGCTTCTTTATATATTTGATTTATTTTGTTTTGTTATGGGGATGGAACTTTCGGGATCTTGTGCTTTCGAGGCAGGCTCTGGAACCACTAGGCTAAATCCCCAGCCCTGTTAATTTTTTAGAAAATATTTATTGGTACATTTTAGATATATATAATGATAACATTCGTCCTAGGGAATTTGTGCCAGTACATGATACACCATCCTGCTGCTTTTTGTTAATATATTTACTGTGCTACTGGGAATAAATGAATCCAGGGCCTTTGCATTGAGCCCCATTCCCAGCTCACTGTAATTCTTAACTTTGAGACGAAATTTTACTAAATTGCCCATTCTTAGCTCAAACTTGTGCTCCTCCTGCCTCAACCTCCCAAAGTCCTGGGATTATAGATCCCAGCATGGTGCACCACCATGTCAGGCTTCTGTTTGGTTTTAGAGAACCCAATGCCTTGTAAACTTGGGTTCCTTCGTAGTCATAGCCTGACCTCCCCCAAGAAAGTTTTTCTTGAACCTCTCAATTTCTGCCACACTTACTACCTACACCAAGGGAAAGTAAAATAAGCTAATTATCAAACCATCCATTTTAAATTTTTAAAAAATTTTGCTTTGTTTTAATGAGATAGGATCTGTGGTCTTATGTGCAGCTGAAGCTGGCCTCAGCCTCAGAGTGTTCCTCCTTCCTCAGCCTCTCTATTGCTAGGATTACAGGTGTGCAAAACAGTAGTCAGCTTTTAAAATTTTAAACTGGCCATTGTGGTGCACACCTGTAATCTCAGCACCCTGTGAGGCTGAGGAAGGAGGATCAAAAGTTCCCACTGGGCTGGGGATTTAGCGCAGTTGTGCTGCCACCTGCCTTGCAAGCACAAGGACCCAAGTTCAATCCTAGGCACCAAAAAAAAAAGAAAAGTTCCCAGAGTGGGCAATTTAGGGATTTAATAAGACACTTTCTCAAATGTAGGTAGGGAGAAGAGTGGAGATAAATCTGTGTTAGGGCCCTGAGCTCAGTCCACTGTTTAAGTACAAGGCTGGGGTTATATATCATTGAAAAAGTTTAAACTTTAAGATGGACAGGCATGGTAGGACACACCTGTAATCCCAGCTGCATGGAAGCTGAGGCATGAGGTATTAAAAATTTGAGGCCAGGACCGGGGATTTAGCTCTGGTACCACCTCCTGCCTCAGAAGCACAAGGTCCTAAGTTTGATCCCCAACACCTCAAAAACAAACAAACAAAAAAAAAACTTGAGGCCAGACTAGCATGGGCATTTTAGAGGCCCTGTCTCAAAATGGCCAGATGTGGTGGTAATACTAGAACGCCAGAAGCTGAGGCAGGAGGATTACCACGAGTTTGAGGTCAGCTTGAGCTACATAGTGAGACCCTGTCTCAGGAAAAGAAAAAAA